TGGGTTCACACTCCGTCTCTCCACCGCGACCTGCCTCTTATGTCTCCACCGCGCGCTGCTCGCACCGCTAAAACGATAGCGCCCCTTGGCGGTCAACGCGCAGAACAAAGCTCGCACCGCAACACTGCCGGAGACTGCCACGCAGCACATCTGCGATTCAGCATCTCCGCGCCCCCTGGCGGCCACTACATAGCACAGCAGGGACGAGGCACTTCACCGCCCCCTGGCGGCCGACACGCAGCACTTCGGCACCTTGGCACCTCGTCGACCCCTGGCGGCCACCATGCGGCACATCAGTGACTCAGCACCTCACCAGCCCCTGGTGGCCTGTCTCAGGACTGGCAGAAACGCGTGTCAGCCCCTCCATCCCCACCTGTCGCTGGGTACTCAAAGCGCACGTCCATTGTCTAGCAGCTCTGAGGATACATCTGGCTGAGCCGAGGCTCCATCCCCGGATGGTTGTCACCCAATTCCGCTGTTGCTTTTGGCTCTGCTGCTTGTATGCTCTGTGTGCTGTTTTCATCTCTTGGATTGCAGCAACCCCTGGCATCTGCTACACAGTGGAGCCTTGTCACTGCAGTGGCCCCTGACAGTTGATCTCGGGATTGAGAGAAGTGGGCTCTGCAGCCCCCGGCTGCACCCCTGGTGGAGGCACCGCTGCATAACACACCCCTTGCACCACGGCACCCCCTGGCGGCCTCCAAGCAGCACTTCAGCATGGCAGCGCCCTCTGGCCGCTGATGTCAGGATCAGCCTGAAGAGGGAAAGCGAGCCGCATGCCACCTGAGCCCTCTGCTTGTGGGCATGCAGGAACACTGTCCCAGCTTCCAGGCACAACAGCATCCTCTCAGCTAGAGATGCCAATTTCTGCATCACATTTTATTGCAGAGGAACATTAACCTGAGCCTTGACATGATTTACAGTAGTGTTTTTATTTCTTTGTGCACATGAGCAAGTCACTGGATTCAGAGCACTGCTGCAGCCTCAGCTGGTGGAGGCTGCTGCGCCCTTCCTCCTAACTTCTTAACACTCTGTTTTTCTTCCCACAGGACAGAATGCTCCAGTTTTTACTCTACCCCGTGGGCTGTGTGCTGGAGCCTGGAAATCCTTGCATCAGATCTGGGAAGCCACAGGTTTCCCTGCCCATGGTGCAGCACTCCCTGCATGCAGGTACACATCAGGGAAAACCCAACCACTCACTCCGTGCTTCCCAGAGAAACCATGGCAGCTCTGGATGCATATTCCACATGGGAAAAAATGCCTACTTCCAGCCCTGTGGTGCTCCAGGAGAGCCTACAGCTGTGTGTGTGCTCTGTGCATTGGCTCCCCAAACACTCCATTGTTTCTTCCTCTGGCTGAGGGGGGGAGCTGAACCACAGCAGGGATGGGGTCCCCATCACCTAAACAATCCCCTTTTTCATAGCCCAAAGGGACACCCAAATACTCCTCTCTTTCCTCACCACACTCGCAGCAGAGCAGCTGCTGGCAGGTCACAGCAGCCAAGAGCAGGCATAACAGCACCCGTGAACATGGTGCCAAATGTGCTGGTGGCTGCACTTGAGGACTTGCCTGATGCAAATGCTGCAAGTCCCAACAGGGCTGCTAAGGTTGCTGTGGGAGCACAAAACCCACCAGCACTTGACACCTTGTTCTACTGACTCTGAGTTTAACTCCTGTACCTTCTCTCTAAGGGAACTCACATATTTCATGGATATGGAAAGCTCTGCAATTCAAACTGTGTCAAAATAAGGCAGTCTAGAAAAGCCTCGTGTCAGCATCTGCAAAAGTTGTCCTCAATTTTAATTCACACACATGCACAATGCACACACACAGTGTTCTTCACACTGTCAGAGGAAACAGCACATGCTGCAGAGACTGTCAGAAGTTGATCATTACTTCTAGTAATGATGTGGTGGCAGGGCCAGCTGTGGAGGCAGAACTGACAAGTTACTTAACGAGTTTGATGTCATCCACACACCTAACCAGTCAAGTGCTTCTGCTCCTGATGTATATGACTCAGAGGCTTTCTCAGCTCTGTCCTAAACTGGATGTCACAAACCATTGGGCCTTCCTTTCTGAGGCTTGCATGCTTAAGGATCCTAAACAACTAAGAAACTCAGAAAACTGTGACTCAAAGCCTAACACCAGCTCAGGTGCTGATAAAATACGCTCCCGAGCAATTTTTAAGACTTCACGGCACAAGTATAACTAGGTCCTAGACGATCTTGGTTGGTTCCAGGCACCATGACCTACACAAGCCCCAGGGAAGTCTGAGCTTGTGGCCTCTGCAATTTACCTTCTGAAGCAGTAAGATGATCTGGATTCTGCAGGCCCTCTTCAGCACCAGCAGATCTCATAGCTGATGAAGCTGCTCCTCAGAGGAGTTCTGGTGACTCAGGCTTAGGGATCTTCTACAGGATGTCATTTTATCATTCCAGTGTTTCAACTCCAACAACTGTGCAACTTTTCAAGCACTTCCCCACTGCCATTTAGTAGAAAGTGTTACTTGGCAGAGGCCTTCAGGACACAGCAGACAGCAGCTGCCAGAACATCACCTGGACTGGGACAGCTCTGCACAGGTCCCATGACTCAGACACAATTTATCTAAAAGCTGGGTAAATGCTAGCACTGGCAATACCCCAAGACACAAGAAGGGACAGAACAGGGATTATCTTGCAGCACACAATCAGCTCCACAGTACCAAAAGTGACACTCAAGAGCAAGCAATTCCAGATCTGATTTTTAAGACAAATTGGCTCACGTTCCTCCCAGCAGCATCACAGCATCCATTCAAGATATACCCCTGAAGGTGGACACCAAAGCCCCATGGCCTGACATAGCATGGAAGAATACCACCCACGAGAGGTCTGAGAGAAGATTGCATCCTGCCTGGAGTGCATACACCCCACAGTGAGCAGATGCACCGGACCAAGGGGACCAACCAGTGCTGGGGGCAATGCATTGCTGGCTACCTGTGGCATGAACAAAGTACATCCCTTTCCCTCATCTCACCTTTCAGCTCAGGAGCCAGAGCGAGGCAAGCCAACACCCCTCACCAGCACAAGGGGAGTGGCCACAGCTTCTCAGGGGCATGGAAACGATCCTTCAGCCAGCTCACCCACTGGAAATGAGTTCATACAGTCACAGCAAACCAGAGCTTATTGGCTCAATCCAGTCTGATACTTCAACTGAACAACGTGATGCTTCGCTACTGCAGTTTCCCACCACAGCCAGCAGTGGCCAAATGACAAGCTAGCAACCATGCTCTTAAAAGAGCACTTTCTGAATAGCAAGGAATGCACAGTGCTGTACAGCCACCTGCATTCAACAGAATTAGGGACTTGGATAAAAGCTGCAGACATCAGTAGTTTATTGGTATGTTTAGGCAAAAGGCACTGAAACTGTATACTTAAAATAAAAATACTTTCTACCTGCAACAAATTCAACTAGCATATATTGCTTGACATGTGTTGTGGTTTAAACCCACCCAGTAACTCAGAACCATGCAGCTGCTCGCTCACTCACTCCTCCCCCTTTCCCTCCCTGCTCCAGGCAGGATGGGGAGGAGAATCGAAAGTATGTAAATCCCATGGGTTTAGATAATAACAGTTCAATAACTAAGGTACCATACACAACCTCTACTACTGTCACCATTAATAATAATGATAAAGGAAATAACAAGAGGAAAGAATATAAAACTAAAAGGGGAAGGGAAAAAAAATAAAAACAAGTGATACAAAATACAATTGCTCACCACCAACCAACCAATGCCCAGCCCAACCAGAGCAGCAATCTGGGCCTCCTGAGTAATTCCCCCCAGTTTGCATACTGGGCATGATGTGCTGTGGTATGGAATACCCATTTGGCTAGTTTGGGTCAGGTGTCCTGTCTCTGCTTCCTCCCGACTTCTTGTGCCCCTCCTCACTGGCAGGGCATGAGAGACTGACATGTCCTTGATCAGGGTAAGCATTCCTTGGCAACAACTAAAACACTGGTGATTTATCAACATTATTCTCAGACTAAAGCAAAAAACAAAGCACTGCACCAGCTACTAAAAAGGAGAAAAATAACTGTTACAGCTGAACCCAGGACAACACGTTACAGCAATGAAGATGATGTCTTGTATGCCTACTTAGTTACTTGTATGTACTACTACTTACTTGCATGCCTACAAGATTACAACCAAGATGGCTGTAATAGAAGCGTAATGATAAAATACTCCCACTATCCAAGAATCAGCAACTAATAGTAATGGTCAGTGAATCCCTTCTTTTGCTCTAAGAAGTACGTTGACTACCAAGAGAGCCAAGAACATGCAAGAGTCCACAGTACAGCAGGTGAGCTATCACTGTGTGAACCTGCACAAGGTTCCAATGGTTGTCCGTTACACAAGAAGCAAATGAGAAAGTCAAATTGCTCAGCAGCTTTTTTTAATACTCCATTTTTTTGTCAGAGATTATTCCCAGTGCCATTTGCCATACCAAACACTACAAAAGCAAAAAAAAAAAAAAAAAAAAGGCTACACAAAACACACTGGTGGCAAACTGCTACCTAACAGGAGCAGTCTGTCCCAAAATTCAAACATAAGGGGAGGTTAGTTCAAGCACCACAGATTTCCAGGTACCAGCTGAAAACATGAGACCTTCCACAAAAAAATGAAATACAGAAATGGAAACTGGTAGAAATGTGCCCGGGGAAAAAAGTGTACAAAAAAAGCACAAGACTTATGATTGAACACAGAAGACCTCAGATCTGGGATAAAACAGACAGATGCCACTTCACTTTGCCTAACATCTCAGAAAACTATGTGTAAAATGTTCCTACTTACTGGAGAACAGCAAACGACTGAAGAATCCTGAGACAGATTGCTGTGATGCCCTATCTGCTTTGTCTTGATATTGCAGTTATTTGATCTGAGGTCTTTTGTGCTCAGCAGCACCTTTTGGCAAAAGCTGATAGCATAAAAAACCTAACTTAGAATCTGAAATAATAAACTCCCACACAATGACAATGTTTAATAATTGCTTATTTCTTTACACAGAGAGTTGCTGGTGTCATTATAGAGAGTACACTGATTTGGAATGGCAACAGATATGTTTTACAGGGTAACATCTTCAGCTAAGAAGTCCTTGCCTTGGCAGCTGAGTTCAGTCCCAGGATCCCTTTGTAATATAGCCACTTACTTTAAGAATGTGCAGTCGATGCACAAGAATACATCTGTTTTGATAAGCTGTCAAATCAAAAAATGTTCATCTTGACTGCTCATTGGATATTAAAATGATTAAACCAAGTAGCAACGCCTGCCAACATGATGAAACGTACTTTTTTTTTTTTTTTGAGGCCCCAATCTAAGCCTTACTTTTAAGGATTTTTTGTGTTCTTTGAAACACTGATTTTTGTAGCTGTAGCTTCTCAAGTTTGGCAGAGTTGAAACCTCTCATGCAGAGGCACTGGTCTTAAAGGTATAGATAGACTGATGAAGGATACTCAGATACGAGTTTAACTCAGACATGAGGTAAACAGCTCTTCCCAAGATTCCGGATTTCCAAATTCTACCTTAAATACTGATGTTACAGAGGCTTATTTTTAAAACTGGTGACTTTTGAATGCATCGGTCATGTGAGTGGAGGTTGCTGTAACAGAACTGGCATTAAACCAGAGGCTTTCTTTTTATAGTACTACAAGTAACCTTTGATTAATGTGTCAACTCTCTTTGAGCTCACTCGCCACTGAAATTTTGAGGGACAGATGCTTATCTAAGCTCTATTAGGAATATTCAAGTTAGCAACATACAAATAAAACCTAACGTTCAATTCTGAAAATGTAATTAAATAGTATGCTAAATTAATTGTTGCTCTTAAGACTAGAGAATTGTACCATGCTAGTATGCTGCAAAACTTAGCAAAAGGATTGTTTGACCATTGATCTTCCTGTGGACCATTGCTGTTAAGCTTACTCAAGTCCAGTTATAAACAGAAGCTTTTTTGGGCCCTGGATAAGCCCAACTGCGGAAGGTTACCCAGAGCTCTCTTTCTGGAGAAAGCAGTACTTGTTCCTTCCAGAAAAAAAGGCATTATTTTTTAGGGTTTAGCTTTACACAAAAGACACTGAAGAACTTAAATTGAACTACATGATTACTGCAAATCTGTCAGCTGAATGACCTCACTTAGAAAAAGCAGGTTTGTGTATTTTTTTTCCACTTCTGTATAGATTTCTAGCATCTTTCCTGGCTCTAGTACAACTTCAGACTAGTGAAAGGAATAATTACATTTTAATAACTGCATATCATATGCTCTTAATCTTTGACAGTTTGTTATCTGGCAACTCACTTACAGAAAGAGTCAGGACTCCCAGAAGACTAATACCTGAGTGCAGAACTTCCTATTCTAAGTAAGCTAAATACTCAGTGAGAGGCTGTGTGAAACAAGACTGTGCAAAAGAGGCACAGGCAAGATTCCCTAAAGCACAACAGGATGCCTGGGGACAGTGGAGCTGTGGGCCAGCTTTCAGGCAGGAAGACCTGTCCCTCTTGCAAAATCCAAATGAAACTTACACGTTATACTTAAGTTTCCTTAACTGAGCAGCTGGCAGATCTCCTTGTGAACACAGCATAAGAAATCCAAGTAGGAAGCTCCTCCATAAATACTCTTGTCTTCTACCAGGAACTGTCGGAAAAGCATCTCTGGTTGCTCCCGCTGTTTCACTATCATCAACTGAAAAGAGGAAAGAAATGTATTTTTAGGATATAATCATACTAAATGGAGTGTGGTTTCCCTGCATCTATTATTGCATGCTCTTGGGGGAGGGGAGGATGGACAGATGGGATGAACAGAAACTAATAAATCTCCACGTTTCAGTAACTGTATTTATGAACAGGAGAGACGGACTAGTGTGACTTAAGGTGTACAAATAAAATGGCAACCTTTAGACTTAAACTACCTCTGAAAATCTCCTTTGATTAGTGAGAACTGAGCATATTTGAGATACTTGTATCTACAATGCATGCTGGAACTCAATGACATAAAGGAAAATTCCTGATACATAAAACCTTTTACACCTACCAGTAGGTTTTGTTTTGAACAGGGATGAGGAATGAGTCAGAGAGAAGTTACCTTCATAGTGTAGGGCTTTTGGCTCTGGATATGCTTCAGTACTGACTTAAATTTCTTAGAATATGGATTGTCCAGGTCAGGCAGTGAAGTCTGTTAGAATGAAAGCATGGCAGGTTGTTAAATTCCAGTCACATATCTTATAAATTCAGATGAGATTAGCTGCTGGTAGTAATGATGCAAACCGCTGGTAGTTATGATGCATTTAATTCTAACCAGGAAAAAAAAATCTCTCATCTGTTCAAAGATTCATCTGTCTAGGCAATTTTTTTAGTTTCATCTAATCACTGCGTGAAAATTCGCTACCAGAGAGAGCTGTAACTATTGCAAAGCGTTTTGTTCCAATTTTAGCAATACCCATTCAATTGGATCTTAATATCTGAAACAGTATAAGGTTTTAAAATGTTGTGAAACCTCCTCTCCTGTAAGTGTTCAGACTGCCAAAGCTTATTTATTAAAGTTTGATGGATGTTTGATGATGATGTATGTTCGGGTGTGCATAAATTGTGAGAAACGGACTAGTCATCTACTCACAGCCTCTGCGCTGATGTGTGCGAAGGACGGCACATTGAAAAGCCCCTGGATGAGCTCTGGGGGTACGCTGACTCCCAGCCACAGGAACATGATCAGACCATTGGCCAGAAGGAAGGCCCCTCCTTCTGAGAGACGTTCCTCAGAGCAGCGGACAGCAGCTGGGATGGCATCACTCTTCAGATCCAGGCTGTGCTGTGGGGCAAAAATGTGCCAGAGTTGCAGACTTGGTGACTTCAAGGTGAGTAAAGCTATAATCAGATCCTGAAAAGTAACTACCAAAAGGTTTAGCATATCTTAGTGGTTCCTTTCCAGATTAGAGGAATTAGAAATCAAACCTCCTCTTTTTCAGTTAACACACTGTGTGCAAAGGAAGGCCTGCCGTAAGTGGGGAAACACTTGCAAGAGCAGCACTGATCTTTAGCAGAACTAGCATCTCTCATTAGCATGAGCAAAAACCTTGCTAAATGTACACTTGGAGTCTTTGAGGATGTTGAAGTCAGCAATTGATTATGTTCATTCTCTATTTTCCAATAAACTAGAGGTTCTACCCTCCCTCCTCAATTTAGTGCAACTAGTGACTACCTTGCCATAAAAATGTAATCCAGCAAGGTAGTGTAGTGCTTGCCCAGCAAGCAGAACATTTCCTGCAGCTGCACAACTACAAGATGGCAGCATTCTGAAAACAGTTACTGAAAAGGAAGAGATGCACAGCCAGCGTACTCACAAGTGGCAGAAGTTGGGGATAGAAAACCAACTGTGTGTCAGCTACCCCCATAGAGGTGACCAGCTGGCGATAGTAAGCTCGCTCGTCGGTTGGAATTTCTGGCCTACCAACTAGCACGCAGCTCTTTGACAGGCAGTTCATGTACATAGGTAGCACCTTCATTGCATCTGGAAGAACGAGCTGAGAAGCAAAGAAAGATTGTTAGACAGTACAGCCCACGTGCATGGGAAGGAGGGCTGGACTTTCAGACATTTCAATAAAACACTGATTCTTGTATTCGAATAAGGAAAAAACCTAACCAAACAAAACTGGTTTTTGTGTGCTGTTTCAAACCAGAGTGACATCTCATATAATAAATTATATAAATTCCAGTGCTTATGGGATTTTGATTTAGTTCAGCCATCTTTTGGATATTTTTCTGAAATGGAAAAAGACTTTTGTCAGAAACAGTTGCTGAGAGGATTTGCCAACATGTTGCTGTTGGTTCAGTATGACCTCCCCAAATGTTCTGAACTTATAAAAGAATGTCTTAAGTTAAAATAATTTTTAAGTAGTGAGCAATGTAACTAATCGGGTTCCTAGAGCTTCTTACTACCCTTGGGTAAGAAAGGATTTAACAGCCTTATCTTAATCACCAAGGATCTTCCGCCTAGATATATCAGGTATTTATCACTCCTGCAATCTATCACCTATGTGCGATTCAGATTGTTTACTAAGATACAATGTTATTTTTATTGACAGTGATAGTATTATTTGTCAGAAATTAGAATACCAAAATCTGTAACAACATTAGAAAAATGAAATCTCTGTGATTCAGCACGTAATTCCAGCAGGAAAAAAAATGAAAGGCTGTCTAATTGCTCCCACTGAATCGCACCTGTCATTAATTATATTTGAAAGAAAAGGAAAATTTTCCTTTCTGGCACTGTGATGGTGCAGGGATGGTTGCTCATCTGCTGTAGCGCATGGCATGGGGAGGATGGAGCGCAGGTGGGTTTTACCTGGCTTACTGCTGAGGGGCTGGCACAGTTCTTCCTGTAACACGCCAGCATGTGAGCTGTATGGTTCACCAGCATCTCTCTGACCATCTTTAGCGGTTGGCTTAGAATGGCTTTAAAAGCTACAAATACAGAAGAATAAAGGAGTGTGCTAAAGACAGATGTGTACTCTTGGAAGTGCCTAGATTCTGCTAGCTGCTGGTTCTACTAATTCGGGGTCTACGGCTGTTTTGTAGTCTCTTTTACGGACAACATGTGCTAGGATGTTTATTCATCTTTCCAAAAAAAAAAAAAAAAAAAGAAAAATCCCAACCCAAAAGCCCAAACCTCCAACACTATGTCAGGATGTGCATTTCCACTGCACAGTTTTGTGCATTACATGTTTGTAGCTCCCTTCACAAGCTTTCCTTTATGGCAGTATGACTAAAATACAAAATCTGTCTTTGGAATTTTATAATACTTCAAGAGTTGCACAGGCTTGGAGGAGCAAGTTACAAAACATGATTTACCCCTAGGTGATCACTCCAGCTCCCCTTCTTTTCCCTTCCTTCACCAAAAAGTAAAAAAGGAAAGAAAATCTTTCTGTTACAATTTTACCTGACTTAGCAAAGAAGTTGATAAGCGCATCTGTCTCACAGCTCTTGTAGACATCTGCTAACTGGGAGCTACAATTCAAACCTATATTGTGTATGCGAAGTCTTCTTTGCCCGCTTATGGACGTGTAAAGGACAGCACACTACAAAACAAGTATAAAATATCATTTATTTTTGTTTTAAAACAAAAAGCTTCACCTGCTTGTGCATAGAAGGCATATAATTACTTGTGAAGACAGCCTAGCCTCCCAGTACTACTGCAGTGCTGCTGAGAACTGTAGGACCGACATCCCTGTGGTCTTTATGGAAGTATAATAGACATGACTATGACAATAGTATGATTGATTCAAAAGCTTGTTACTCTCATTTGCTACATGCTGATGGTATAATCTGGAAAGAGGAGTCCACTCATTGTAAGTTTGTAAACCACACTTTGGGTAATATTTGAACAGTTCAAAGACTCCATACAAACAATGAGATGCTTGCTGACAAGTGCTCTGCCCAGCACATTAGCTCCTGGCAAAAATGGGACAGTAAAACTTTCTCATCTAGAAAAGCCGAGTGGTTCTTTTTACATTAATAACTTGCTTATGAAGTGAGGCAAGGTGCTGCTAACCCCTGTAGCCTGCAGCTTCCATTAAATATGGAGAGTGTAATTTAAGAATTTCCTTATGTCTCCAGTTCTACTTCAATATAACGTTGATACTTGAACATAACATGTTGCATTCCACAAGTATCTCTCACATGAAAAAGCTGTAAATATAAATCTACACCCTTCGCTGCTGCACCGTGGTGCTAGGAAGTGATCTCAGACATACCAAAGTGGGTGATCCCCAGTGCTGTATTCATACACAGGGATTAACTGCTGACCTATGAAATGTATTTACAGGGACAAGCTAAAGCCAAGTGCAACAGAAACAAAAAATTTAGATTATTTTGTAGCTTAAATTTAAAACCTTGCAAGTTGCAATATTTTCTGTCATCAAATGAGAAAAAGGTCACGACTAAATGAATCTAGAGTAGTAAACAACAGACTCCCAAAGGATGGGATGCTCCCACTCCTAACAAAAGACGTATTCCAGTACATTTCGGGGGCTTCTAGCACCCCAGTGCCAAGAGCCTGAAGGGAGCAGAGCAGCTAGCTGACAGTGTGCAAGCCAGAGCTTCGACTGCACACGTACCATTTCTGTGTAAGAAGTAATGAATCTTACACACTAAATTAGCTTAATAAAATGGGGGAAAAAATAGCTGTTGGGGTCTCACGGAGTGTTGTGAAAGCATTGTGGCATCATCCCTGAACAGACAGGCAGGAGAGCACACAGATTGTCACAAGGAGCATCATTTGTACTGCAACCTTTGGATACTTAATTAAAACAAATTTTTTTTTAGTAGTAGTAATATTCTGTCTCCAGAGTGTGTGAAAGATGGGCCATGTTCCCATCAGTGTTACACCATAACTTCTTTTTGTTCTGCCTGCAATTCTTGCTCACAATTTCACATTAGAGGTAATTGTTTTTTACCTGAATTAAGGCTCCACTGTCTTCATTCAGTCTGTCATCATGTTTGAACTCTACTGTCACTGCCTTGTCACAGTCAACTGCTGCCATCTCTACATCTGTGGTGTTGTTCATGTAAATGGCACCAAAAAAGTCTGTAGCCCTGAAGCCTACAAGATTAAAAAAATAAATGTAGCCTTCTATTTAAAAACAGCAAAAAAAAATTGGCATTACTTTGTGACTTTTCTTTTATGGGCAATCAATTTTGTTTCCTGAAACAGGAATCCTTTTCTTCTCTAGGATGTGCAGCCTCGGGGCTCCACCAACTGTCCTTGCTGATGGCAGTTTCTGACAGTTGGGTGAGTGGGAGAAGCTGATAGGCCATGAAGTTGTGCTGTGACTGTGAGATCACCCAAAACCTTTTGAGCCATTGACTTGGCCATGTTGTATGGGTCTGTTTCTCAGATACTTGCATCTGAGGTAAAAAGGAATGCTTGAAAAGTAAACACAGTAATGTCATTTGGTGTAGGAAAACAAAGGAACATACAAGTGTTTCTTATACAACTTTCTTGCAATCCAAGATGCATGCATAATGATCAGAAGCCTTACAATTAAAAAATAATTATTATGGAGGCATGTACAGGAAAGGCACTTTCTCAGTCTATCCAATTACTTTCCAAGAGGTATGAAATGAAATTCAAGTGATCTGTACAGCACTATATTATTTAAAATTATATATTCTCACATGCATTCACGTTTATTTTCATTCCCAGCGGGCCCCATTACCTGTACTAGTCCGAACCCTCATTATTGCATCAAATCCGATCTTTTTTTCTATGTCCTTCCTGAGGTCACTTAAGAACCGTGGGCTGTCGGCATCGAGCTAGAACCACAAAGCAAGAGCAAAAACCGCAGTTCACCACCGGGTGGCAGCAGCACAGCAGAAAACCAACCCTCTCCCGGCTTCCCGTGACCCCCCATCCGCGGCATCAAACCGGCTCCTCTCATAATGTAACATCTCTCTTTTTTCTTTGAAAAATATATTTTAAAATGTTAGGGTTTTTTTTTTTTTGTTAACAGAAGCATATGTACACAGGTATCCACCAATATATCACTAGGCCTGGACATCAAGGATTCCTACTCAATCAAATGACATCCAGTACCACATGCTCTTGGACTTCACAGGCTGACTAGGATTTTATGGCACAGCCGTTAACAACTGCAGAGTAGCCTTGGTGACTGTGCAAAAAATGCTTCTGCAGGTCAGCTCATGCCACAGAGAAAGTCCTCTACTGCCCAGAGAGATTCTTCTGAGACTGTACACAAGGGTGTAAAACAACAACCTTGTGTTGCGCTTTTGAAGGGGTCTTTACTGTAAGCATTTGTATCTCTATATACGGGAATAACTGACTTCCCTGCTCAGATGCCAGCATAGTAAGCAAGTGGATTTGATTTTTAGATACCAACCAGCTTATTATTGTTTCAAAAGATATATTTGAGCCTGATCTGCCATTTCTAAGTCTCCCCTGATGTAAGTAAAAAGTAGAGTGACTACAAAACTATGTAAAGTATCAAAGCACACACTTTGCAAATAAAAACAACAAATCCCTAGGTGTTACGGTACAAGAGGCAGGAAACCTGCCACACTTACCTGGAAATTGTTGTACTTGTACAGTGTTCCTCCAGTGTACAGTGTGACAAGACCCATGGAGGCTATGTCCACATACTCATTTGGGAAGATGAACAAATTCACGCAGCAGCCATTGGCCACACAATCCCTGGCTAAGGGCTCATAAGAATTTACTTGGGGCTGGAAGAGCATCTGCACAGAATTAAAGAATACAAGTGTCATAACATCAATTAATTGTTGGTAGCCAACCATAATCCAAATGTCCTCTTGAAGAAAAAAACATTAAGTGGAACTTGTGAGGTGTGGATTTAATGAAAAACATGTTGCCCCTGCCCATGTACTGTATATAGGGAACCAATTTCAGTAAGTTCTTAGAGAACTAAGTCACTGAACAGGCAGGCAGTAAAAGCTCTTCATGGGTGAAATTACTGATTTGCTGCCTGGGTTTTTCGTTATTGATGGGAATGGTTGCTTTACTGTTCTTTGACTTTAAATATTCCTACATAATCAGGGCACACTAAGAATGGGAACATTTTCTAATTCAACAACACATCTTCGTAAAGAAAAGAAATGAAAAAAGGTTGAGGCTCTATTAGAGAAATTCAGCACGGTAGCAGTCCCCTGTTAGAGCAGAAAATACCTTTTCTTTATCTGTATTGAGTAGTTTTTTGTCATCTCTGTTCCTCATCTTCCCTGGTGCTTCCGCAGTTGGCAATGAAGAATGGAAAATAAACAATTTTCCAGCACATTCTGCAGCCTGTTACAAAGACACCATATTGGCATATTTGTAAGTGCTAAGATGAAAAGCCTAATTTTCACACATTGTGGCATCTCAGAGAACAATGTAAACTTTTTGCAAGTTCCTCAGAGCTAAATCATTCATTTACAGACTCAAAATTTAACAGACATAAGTCCCAAAACAAACTGGGAATTTTACACCAGTGAATTCCTTAGCCTAGCAGATGAATATAGAATGGTTAGGGCTGGAAAGGACCTTAAGATCATCTAGTTCCAATGTTGGCTGATGCATCATTACAGTAGTTTTTATAGAGAAGTTTTAAAATCTTGATGGGCAAAACTAGAAGTACCTCTCTTGGAGACTTCCCAATTGGATGCAAGCATTATGCAGTAACCACCAAGCATCAAAACTACAAATATTACGCTGGAAAAATTAAAACAAAAAATAATTTAACAGAAAAATTATTTCTTTCCCTTCAGGCACACTAGTGATAGCTACACTCATAGACAAGTGACAATTACACTCCTGTACTAGATTCCACATTCAAATCTACACTAAAAGGCCGGAATAACAAAACTTACAATGAACATCTCCTCTTATCAGTAAGAAACAAAGTAACTGCCATTTTTATTCCATTTTTCTATTCTTACTTAGAACACTAATGAGGACATAATATTTATTGAGATGACATACTCCTGACAGAAACCCCTGAATTCTGAAGAGTATAACAACAGTGGCAGTGTCACAGGCCTCTTTGTACTATAAATAAGCTTTTCCATCAAAACTTAGAAAATCCAGCTTATTGCTTACTATTGAGACAGCTAGTGGGAATGAACAAAACAAACCAGACTATTTCAGCTGCAATCCTCAGGTCCAGCTGTTCAAGCACTTCAGGGCTGAACCAAAGTGAAAGAAAAGTGAAATAAAAAACAATGAGCAGTTCCAAGGTCTTCAAGTACAGAAGCAGCTCAGTGTGATGAAGGGAAGGAAGAGGAGTGATGGATTTGTCCTTTTCCTGCTCCAGAATTAGCCACACATCCAGGTTAAAACTGTCAATACCCAAGACCACAGACACAGATCAGCTTTGGTACTCCTCCTATTGAAGATCTTGAGATGTTCTCAAGATATTCCACATTTCAAAATAAGCCAAGGCATACTGCTGGGAAAACAAGAAATCTCTTTGCTAAGGCAAAAATGCAACTGAAGACAGTGTCTTACATTTTATAGAGCAGAAATGCAATTGAAGAGTGTCTGACATTTTATAGAGCAGAAATTTCACCCCTAGTATTTCAAGCATAAGTATCTTTAGTCACAAGTGCTAATTTCTTCAATGCATTTTAAGAAGCATTCTGTTGAAGACTGAAAGAGTTACCAAATATCTGTTTGTCATGATACGCAGCAGGAATTACTGACACCACTTTTGACACACTTTCTAAAATGTACGTGTATTATTTCTAAAAGTGTATTAAAATTGATCCCAAATAGGACCACAATCCATTTTAAATCTTTTTAGACAAGAATTGTCTTCCTGAGCACAGGTATATGCATATTAATAATTCACAGTGGAAATCTTTACAAATTATAGCTTTAAAAAACTGAGCTAAATAAAAAGCTTACTTAAGAGCTGCTTTCTTTTATAGCCAGCACCAAAGTCAAGTATTACAGAAGAGGATTCTGACAGAAACAGTAACCAAACATGTTTTGCATACACACCTTCCAGTGTAAGAAAACGGGTATTAAACAAATATTTAAGATACAGACTTGAGCAATGTTCTGTATTTTCAACAAATTTATCTACTCAAAGTCATGCTTTACTTATACACAGCTTACAGATAAATCAACTATTTTAAAACACCACTGGCTGTTTTTTACCCCTACAAATCTTGCGATGAACCATAGTGGCATCCTTTTAATTGGCAGCGCTTGGAAATGTCAGCATTTCAGAGGGTGTCCTGGACATACAGAAAGTGACTGGGGATGCATCTTGACCTGGGGATTCATTTTCAGCAGTATACAGGCTGTGAAAATAGGCAGTTAAGCAGAAACCCTCCATTCCCCTACCTGATTCAGTCATAAATCATCATAAATATCTTATTTTGCACAAGAAATCTGCAGAAGCAGAAGAAAGGGCAAAATTGTATCTTCCACTGACTCCTTTTTCCCATCCTCCACACATGCAAGGATGGGTTATCTGTGCAAACATTCAGAGTATCTATTAGTTCCTGCTGCAGTAACTATATCCTTTTTTATTTCTCTCAAATGCTGCATGAGAAACAGATTCCTGCTTCTCATCTTCTCCTAAACATCCATTCTATGTAGCAGAGACTCTAGGGACTGGCTTTCCCAAAAAAGCATAATCTGGAAACACATGTATGCCTGTGAGTGTTCTCATTTCGACTAAAGCAGTTCAGACATACTGTTAGAGTACAGGAACATTAGTCCTGGAAATAATCTGTGCCTCTTTTTTTTTTTTTTTTCTCATTTCCCATTGTGATTTATAGGAGACTCGGTACTGGCTTTTAGCAAATGGAACTTCTGTAGCTTATCAAGTCTGATTCTCACTTCTGTAGAGAGGAACATTCTAACCTTTAGTGCCTCCACCCCAGCCTGGATAACAGGAGCGAAGATGGTCTCACTCTCATTAGTGTCTGCAAACATCTCTGGAATCTGGTCCAACAAGCTATGAAAGAGGAAAGGATCAGTGTCTCAGCTAGTTAGCTATTTGGAATACTCCCCAAACTACCTTGTAACATACCAATTCAGATAGGAAAATTTTGATTGCTGAATTTCTTAGGATTCCAGCCAGAATAAAACAAAATAGGTATCTTTAAATTCTAGGAGATCTGTTATTTCAAAGCTGGTAACAAAAAAGAACATGCAATAAAAAAATAAATAAAAAATAAATATCTAAAAGTTAAGGAGTTCTGGTGTGCTGTGAGTCCTTAGATCATACCCAGGTGTGCATCCTATACATTGCAAGAGGAAAAACATGCAATAATGGCACACAGCTGCTACCCCCGTCACATTTCTGAAACAGCACAGCTGAAGATGCATGGTCTACACCTGGCCTAAACACACTTTCCAACTGAGCACTTGGGGGGGTGTTGATATCCCTTTTTCTTTGCTTCAGAGGTGGAACTGTATGACTTGAAGCATCTGCTGGCTTCTACAGTATTTCAATAAACACATGTACCCTCCCATCCCCAATAATACAATTGACTAAAAGGATTAATGCATATGATAAGCTTTCATATCTTATTTTCATATGGACTAATCATACTTTACTTGATAACAACAGATCGTGAATCCTGGAAGTTAACAAGGAAACCATCCATCAAAGGAACAAAAACTTCTCCAACATCAGAGACCACCATCATCTGAGGCTGAGCTAAGCTGCTTTTGACATTAAAGAAGTGGAGGACCTTGTTATAAGTGACAAAACCAACTTGAATTGCTGAGGATTCCTCTTGCTCTTCTCTGTAAGAAAACCAAAACCAACTGGTTATAATTCTGAATTTCTGATCTTGCAATAAAAGCATTCCTTTGCAATGCAAGGCTGCTTTCAGAGGATTATCCATACAGGGAGCAATAAAGCAAACAACAACCAAGTCATGTAATGACATCAATCTCTGCCTTAGTTCAAATTAAAACACCCTGATAAAAATCAAATGCTGTATTGCTTACTTTAAAAAAAAAAAAAACATATAAATTTACATCAACCCTATCAACTGCATTCCATCCAAGCAGTGAAAAATCCCTAAGATAAAGAATAAACCAGGGATAATTTTTTCAGATACTGCTCTTATCTGTGGTGGTCTGAATATCCAGTTGCTTCTATCACAGTTTTAAAGATTAGCTGTAATGCAGTGGCCAGTTGCCTATACATCTCATAAACTATTTAATTATTTTTAAAGTCTCAGAATGAGATGTCTGGATCACAGATACACAAGTGCTTTCAAATATTTCTTTGGGCTTTTTGTTGTTTGTGTGTTTTGGCTTTTTTTTTTTGGTTGGTTTTTTTTTTGTGTGTGTGTGGGCTTTGTTTTTGTTTTTAAATTATATAAAAATCATACTTGCACAACTAGTGTGATTTTTCTGAGCTCATAAGCACAACTTTTATCAACACATTTCTCTATTTTTCTAAATACAGTCCCAGGGGTTTCTGGTTTGGAACACATAAGCTAGAAAATGTCTGCTGTAAAATTTCAAGCAAGCAAATAATGTGTTTTCAGCTATGCTGCAAGTCTACAAAACCAGAGTTCTTAATATCAGGTCTCAAGACACCTACTTTAATCCTTTCTAACTTCTCAGCCACTTCAGTGGCTTTACAGCACTTCCATATTCATAGCTGGAGAAGGCCTTTAGACCAACCAGCCCTTTTGTGACACAGACTGCTTTGCTACCCGAAGTCCTTCCTCTCAAAGATATGGGCACAAGATGAATTGCCAGCACAGGGCTCTCACCTCATGTGGTAAGAGCAGAATATTTTTGCAGCTGTCTTTGTCCAGCAACAGAAAATTAACACACCTTTGTGTCTCAGCACCAAAATAGAAGTTTCAACATAAATTTTGGTGGAATGCCTTAAGTTCTTGTTTTGGGGGGGCTGGGTTTTTTTGGTTTTTTTTTTTTTGTTTGTTCATTCGTTTTGGTTTGTTTTTCTGGTTGGTTGGTTGGTTTGTTTGTTTTGTTTTTTTTTTTATTACTATTACTTAAAGACCACAGATGAGTCTAAAGAAACTGAAGGACCTGCCTTTTCTTTGTCTTTTTCTATTGGTTTTTTCAGAGAACATAAAAACTTTGGCCCTGCAAGCATTATTTAGCAGCATGTATCTGCAGAGTGCTATGAGGAAAAGAATTTTTTGTGATGCAGATACACTTGCTTTCATTTTCTTCAACTTTCCCTGTTCAAGCTTAGGTGTTTATTATCTTCAAAGTCATGACCAATCCTGATGGAAAGCTCTGAGATATGTTCAGGATAGTATCAAACACTTGTGTCTCCAGGATAACCTTCAATGACAAAGTACTTTAGAGGTGGCCTTCCATGGGCATCTAACAACTAAACCTTCACCCTGCACTGGAGCTTCTTTCATGCACAAAGATCCCAGAAGGACACATGATATATGATTTTTAACACACCCCACCCCATCTCCCACCCTTCCTCACTTCGCTTTCTCCATTTAAATCTGTTTACCTTCTTGCAAGTATTGTTAGTTGGAATGCATTTTCTTTCTGTATGTTCTTTAATGCTTTTATATGCCTTCACTGAGAAACAGCCACTTAATTTCCCAGTTTTCACTGTTCTCATTGAACTATATGTGTCTGCATTATTTAAACTTTAACGAAAACTACCCTAATACACTATACTAAAAATTATACTAAACTGCAATAAAATAGTACATTGTCATTAATATTGACCAGTAGTAATACTACTATCGTGTGTTTAATGCTCATAAAGCAAATGTGCTATATTTAATAAAGTATTTGTGGCCTAGAAGATTTTTCTCCTCTCAAGGACAGAGAAGTCATACAGCAGAGTTTTAGAAGCTTTAAAAGTTTTGCTAATTAAAAATAAGAGCTAAAGACACAAGCCACCAACACCATGGCTTTAGAGAGACTTGCCATCCTTGAGAATTCTGGTTTTGGTATTTTCTGTTTAATTTAATGAGAAAGGAAGCATTGCAGTAAACATAACTTTACAGCAAGTCAAAGCTACGAGCTGGGTGGTAGCTGACAGCACCACTAGAAAGAAGAAAGGAAAGGAATTCAAGCTATATGTGCAGTTACTATGACAGATTTTTTCCATTCATACAGTAAGCCCAGACATCAACGTTTAAGAAATGCCAGCAGTGAAAATTAACATTTGGTCACTATCAGCTCAAAAATGCCTGTACTGTAAATCTGGACATCTTCTGTTGCTTGTTTTTACCTCTCAACATTCAAACTTCCATGAAAAATGCTATGTAGTAAGTAAGTTAAGCAAAACACACTTTTATTTCTTTACCTTGGAAGTTTATCTAGAAGAGTCTTGAGCTCATCACATATGAGTTTAACCAGACCGCTCTTGATGTTTCTGTACGATACATCAATCATGAAGATATAAGCTGGTGGCTTTGGAGGCTTGTTGTTCTACAGAAAAAATGACCATTTACAGGGACAATTATACAGTGCCCTGCTATGTAGAAAAATTTACAGGTGGTACCTTAAGACAATCTAAATACAGCACTCAATTGTTTGGAAAATGCTATGGATCATAAATAGTAACTACTGTAGAAAGCTGACACTCACTGGGTAAAGTCCACTCCTGGAATAAAACATTGTTACTGGAGAACAGCATCCTTATGGAATAAAACATGCAGAGGTTAACAGTTTACCAGGTAAGATGAAACACAAACATCTTTTTCTGGAATTCAAGAGTTTAAACAGATTTGCCTTTTGGCTTTTTCTGTACCCATATGGATTTTGCATTCCCTACATCAATATGCAATACCATTTTGTTAATGTGAATGTTTACATTCAGTCTTTGTTAGCATTTGTCCTAACAACTGTTAAGTCATTTCCAAGCAATCTGGAAACAGAAAATACAACTTAGGTACTGAACCAGAATTACAGTATCGCAGTTCTTAGAAGTACTAAGTGGTGGTCATCTGACACCTATCTGTCTGTTGTGCTCCAAGGCATTCTAGACGGCTGAACTGTACTTTCAGGAATAAGCTGACTTTGTGTAAGATAAGCGAAGTATGAGAGCGGAACATTCAATGTATAGAGCTGCTGCATACACAGCAGTGACTTGGGCTGGTACGGGTTCTTTAGGGAATTCCTCTTATTCATAATGTAACTGGCAATCAAATCGGGACATACGCTACTGACACAAGTTTCCGTAATAAGAAAAATGTAAGATGCTTTGTTTCCAAATAAAGCAGTGTAATGCTTGGAGAAGTACCTAGGAAGAAGATCATATAAAGTGAACACAGAAACAGTAATCACCATACCTGATGATTATAAGACTGGTTTTTCTAATTCCCATTAGGATAAGCACTGCTCATTACTTGGTGTGAAATTCAGGACACCTTTTCAATTATACTGTTTCACTGCCTTCACATACAGGGTTCTGACCACTCAACCAAACTAAACTTCAGAAAACTCCATGTACGAAAACCATCATCTAACCCCTGAATTATGACTTACCTGTAGTCCGGGAACACTTTAAACTTAACATTACACCCTTGATCTCTCCTTATTTGAATCATGTAAATCAGAATTAATTCCTGTAAACTAAAACCATGCATTATTTTTAAAAGCGGTTCTGTTTCCTGTGCTTGGATTCTATTTTCAAAAACTGCATCAAACACTACTTTTAAACTCTTGTATCACATTGCCTTCATAAAGAATCCCTGCATAAGTTCTGACAAATACATTGTAGAAACAAGGACTTGTGCTCTTGCCACATCTGCTTTGCATGAGCACAATAATGCAAACCAGCTGTTATTTGTTAACTTTTCTCGTAGCTGTACACCCTTGTCATTTGATAAGCACAAAAGGAAATGACTTTTCAGTTCTGGTCTTAAACTGGATTTATAAAGGAATTAAATTTTTGCAACTTGAAGCAAAATGAAAAATTAATTGTAAAATAACGTTAACATCTGTAACATCTAATGACTTAGCATTTCCAGTGTGACTGTTAATTTTGTAAGAGATTTCTCTTTTGGAACATTCTAGTAAGGCTACTGATGGGTTTTTGCAACAGGACAGACCATTCTGGATGACTTACCAAGTAAACTCCCCTATTTAAGCTGTATGACAAAAGCCACTGCACCAAAGATGCTCTGTGATGTTAACTGCACCAGACAGGGTTACGCTCTGGAGCAGAGAACTGTGAAAACGGCACCAACCATTTTGTACACACGACTTTTCAAAAGCTGAGCTGCCAGAAATCAGCAAAGCTTAACTGAAATTGATAGAACAATACTGGATGTGCACTGAGGATCCCACACTGTATTTCTGTAACACCTCACGATCTCTCCTGTTCTGGGGTTTAATCCACACTGCAATAAAATTCATATGGGTCACCGCCGGGATTTCACTGGATTTTGGAGAAGTACCCTAGCGAGAAAGCAGAATTAAACCTGTTCATTTTCTTCATACCAGCAATACTTTGATGGTCCGAGGAAGTTACCAGTCTCTACTTCAAAGCTTTGTAGGGCCCAGTTGCCTTTCCCCAGCTTTCTACAACCTCAGTTCCATGACAGGAAGAAAATTCTGCCTGATTTTAGCAAGAACAGAAAAATATGTCCATAATGTGGATAGATGTAGCTTTGTAAAATGATCTGAAGTTTGAAAAGTTTAAGTAACTTACACTTTCAAAAGTATCAAATAGAGTTTTCCAATAAAATCAACTATACACAGTTACAGTGACTAGAGTGGGCTGTGGGAAGAATTCTTTAGTGTGTTAATACTGGAAAGAGAACTCATTCCGTTGTACTTACTGGTCAGAATACTAAAACTACACTTGCCAATAAAAGAATAATTGTCAAATTCTCTTGTGAAGGTTTTCAATATTGGGAAGGCAATTCTGACATGTGTCTTGCCTTAAAAAAACAAAAAAGGACATGCATCTAAAATTCAACACTGCATCAGAATGTCAACACGCTACTAGGACCAAATAAACACCCATGAAAAACTGGTCACCCACCAATTTGCTGCACTCTTTATTACTCTTACTTCCTAGTCTCATACTCTGCAGCACAAAATAATAAAACATTATATTCTCCACATCTGTCTAAATTTTCTAGAATGTTCTTGGACTCCGATATTCGGCTTACAGATGCGTTTACTGTAAGTATTTAAAGGATTTTGTTTGTTTTGACATAAAATCATAAAATTAGTTTTTACAATTTTGAGTATTGGAAATACTCACTCGGCAATAATCCAAAGTAGCAACATATTCATAAGATCCCAGAGACAGCTCAGGCCTTTCATAGTGGTCTACCCGCTGGCCAATGTGGTCCAGATGTTGAAAGAAGAATGGAGGGACTAAAAGCCAACACAAGAGCAGGAAAAAAAAGTTTATATTCTGGGGAGGAGGGGAACAGCCTGGCACCTTCTTTCACCACATACAATGTACTATTATATGTGTATAACTACCCTGTAACTGATCGAGGAAAGAGTTTAAACACTTACCTGGGTTGCAATATTGGTGTGGTGTTTTTTTTCCCCAAGACCAGCTTAAAAAACCCCAAGCAAACAAAAACACCGCAATATTCTAGTAATGACAGCTCCTTTTGTATTTGGAGTACAGGGTGTATTCCCCTATAAATGTTCACATGCTCCCACCTCTACATTGTCAGGTAAAACTGACCCAGGTCATTTCCACAGGCAGGAGCCTTTTACCCTCTGGACTTAACAGTCTATTCACATGTTCACAACCCTGGGCTACTGTACAGCAAAGTGCATTGGGAACCTTCTGCAGATACAGATATAGGGTGCATAACTCCAAAGCAATAAGAAATCAAGTGAGTTTGCCTCCATCGATTTCCATACAGCTAGTCTGATGGTTAGAGTCATACTGACGAGGAAGAGTCACATATGGGTTTTAGCTCCTCTTTCCTTAATCAATGTATATTTAGAATGCTTATTTTTCACATTGTTGCCCACAAAAACTGAATGTGCATGAGAATGGCGGGAGTATCTATTTAGTGGGTTGGCCATTTTCAGCCCTCATTAAAATTTTATTTTAAAATGCTTTCTGAGTTGGATATAAGATAGCATAGCAATATAAAGCATGATTTAAAATGGACACTAGAACTCTAATGTCTTTCTTAAAATGTTTACAATGCATCTAAATTTCTCTTCATGAGAGTTTAAACTGGTAAATTATGAAATTCGTTATCTGCACAAATATTTGAGAGTCAGAAGAGAAGTTGGAATGAGTCTGTCAAGGTTCACATGTCAGAGCTGAAAAGACTACTGTATTCGGGAAAGCACTATACCATGTGATCCAGCTGAGGAAATCCAACTTGATACAAGTATCTAGAAAGGCTAGTTCTGCCAAAGATTTGGGATTTAGCCAAGCACATGAGAACAGTTATGAGTCACATGCAGCACACTTGAACAAATATGGCATGGTATCTTCTGTGAAAACCAACACTTGTCACAGTAAGATTAATAGGTTATTTAACCATTGCATCCACAGCCACAGACAGAACTGGTCTAACATGGTTCTAAATATTTGGTTCTTGCTGGACACTTAGATTTCTTAAATAAACTAATTTGGTTGACACAGAAGTTGCTTTCCATTAGCAATACAAGCAGCCCTGTATTCAATGTTAACATTGTATTTCTAAACGGAGTTTTGAATGTATCAGACTGGACTTCATGAGCCAGCATTATTTTTCATACATTTTGTTTTAAACTGTACAGAACGAATTTTTCTATGCATTTTTCTTGTGTACTTTTTGAGGGTTTTTAAAAATTATTTATTTGTGAAATAGGCCTAGTTACCGCATCTCACTGAACTATTTTCTCATCAAGTCAAGAAAATTTAGGGATATAGTTTCTTTTTAGTTTTATAGAATTTTTATGAATGACACATCAGAACAACAACACTTACCATCATTTACACAGTTGCAAAATCCACACTGGTATCTCCTTCCACCTTCGATAAACTGCATGAAAGGACACATATAAGCTTTGCACCGGTTACATCGGATTGGTCCAGTCTCACCATGGCTTACAACATAAAGGGGAGTCTAGATGAAGAAGTACAGGAAGTTTTAAAATGCAATGCAAATTTCAAACCAAATAAAGCGAGCTAGAGGGACTTAACTCTTGTTAAAGACCACCTCATCAGGAGATGATTCATTGTTCAGCATTCACCCAAAATCTGCAGAATGGCTCAACCCCACAGCAGCTAAATTTACAAGTTCACAGGCTGTATTCTGACATTTACCACAAAGAGAGTAAAGATTCACACCAAATGTCTATAAAGTTTCGAAAGCACTGGAAGTTTAGGGCTCCAGGCTCATTTTCTCCAGCAAGGGATTTTTACAGCTCATTAAGTGAAATCTGCTGGAGTCAGGTATTTTGCCTTCTGTCAGATCTGAGCTCATACTGAAATCTACTGCTGTTAGTCTATTGCAGTCTCTCAAACAGGTATTTACTAAGAAAGCTTCTAAGATTTTCTTCTAAATGCTGCCCCTGCAGTGCTGCCATGTTACATGCTATATACTAACATTTAAAGTTGTCAAGGTCACCAGCTACAGCAGATTTAGAAGAAATACTAATAGTTACTGAAGGAAAGTATGTCCAGCAAATACAGTATCTCAAGCACTTGTCAGTTTAATTACACTGACCATGCCTGTTTCTGGCCTCTGCCAAATACCACAGGATTTTCCAGATGCCTCTTTTCAAGTGTAGCAATTGAAAGAGCCCTGTGATTATACTTAATGTTAGAAAAGACATACTTGAAACTACTATAAAAATGAAGTTTGCTTAATTATTTATGTAACTCGGTGTTTTGTATTTTCCTTTTTTCTTACTTCCCTCAATCTCAACTAAAAACTTACAAACATAAGAATGAGAAAAGAAATCCAGAGTTTGGACACATTACACATCCCTACAATTTTTTTAACTATTATGCTTCTTCTGATGGAATGGACATATTTCACCTATTACACACTTTATCTTTTACTGGAGCATAAGGGTCTTTGAATATCTAAAAATATCCTTCCTGTCCTTCTAGCATTCACTGCTTACATATATTTTATTGTACATACTGCAAAGACTATTTTACTCATTTGTTTCTCCAAAGGGTTTAATGCTTTTTGCTAAGGATTTTATACAACAAATAGATTTTTACTATGTCGGTATTCTGAAATATCAAAATTAAGACCTTTACATAAAAAGCATCAGCAATAAAAAAAGAAATGCCATGAAGTTCAGAGCCCATGTGTCTACATTCTTACACATACTTAATGAATTATCTTTTTAAAGACAGAAGAAATAAAAGCAATGTTGGTTTTTTTTTTCTTTGTCTTTCATATTTGGAAAAAAATTTAGCCGTCCCTCCATTTAAGTTTCTTTTAAAGAAACTACCTATTACAAAGTCCTTTTAAAAATACAGGGTTGGAGCCTCAGCAGCCTAGGGGATATGTTTGCAATGACTTACAAGCATGTTTAGGTTTATGTATCAAATGGCTGTCTTGAAGTTACTGAGATTATCTGCAGTCCATGAGGTTAATACATGTGCTCAAGTCTTAAGAAAGTAGAATCCACAGGCAGTGTTCCGTAACCCTATACTAGGCTGGTTTCTGTTTTGTCTTGCCCAGAGAAATAAAGGATTAGCAGAAGCTAGCTATATTTTCTTCCTAACAAGCTTGCAGAACTTTTAAAAAAAAAAAAAAAAAAAAAAAAGATAAAAACGTACAAGTCAAAGAAACAAAAGCAACCAAAAATGCTAAGGGTTTTGTCCAGGAAAGAAAAATCCTGAAAGAATCCTCATGTGTACCTTTATTTATTGATTAGTTTTGAATTTTTTATAATTAAATGAATCCACATCTTTAGTATTTTCTTCAAATAATCTAAAAAATTTACCTCAGTAATGAACACATCTGAAAATAATGCTATCTGTCTGATAATTTCAGAATAAGCACTCAGACTGAAAGCATCAAAACCCCACTTCTTGACAGGAACACCATAGTTGTGAAAGAAACTTTACCTCAAAAATACTGAAATCTTCCAGGACATTACACTGTAAAACTAGACATTCTGTCCATAAAGTAATTTCTGTTTGGGTGTGTAAACAACTGTCAAACTAACTTCTGCCACAGTGAAGGAGCCCTTTGGAAAGATACAAAGATAAAATAATACTGTCCAGGCATTAAAAAGCATAAAATAAAGTAGTAAGCTTAAACTAATGAATGCATAAAAGAAAAACAGACATAAAAAAGGCACGGCACTAAATCGGAAAGTCTTGTTTGATGTGCTCCACTCTGCAGATGTCACTGTACACTAGAAGATAAAGGAGGGACTCGTTTATGGTCCCATGGAACCCAGTGCCAAACTCTCACAGGAGCAGGGAAATAAGATGAAGCTTAATTTGTGTGTGTGTGTGTATTTTGGTTGTTTGGTTTTTGGTTTGGTTTTTTTTTTTAAAAAAATGCAATACTTCTTTTTCTTTTGCCTTGCTATCTATAAAGTACAAGCATTTTCTTCCTCTCCTCTCTTAAATCTCCACCAATAAGTGAATCAAGTTGGATATCTATTATAACTATCTCAACATTTTCTATACTTCTAGACTTGTTATGGCCTAATTCTTCCCCCTCATCTCTTCACAAAACTTCACCCAATTTGCCTGTTTGGACAACATAATTGAGAATTGGTATGTATTTATTGCTGGTGTTCCAGCACTATGCAAATATAAATATTTCTCAAAACCAGTGACTAAACTAATACTCGGTAGCCTAACTCTGAACAGGACACATAAAATTAATTCCATTTAAGTAAGCTGAAAGAATAGAGAGGTAGAAAGAATCAGTTGTGCTGGGAGGCATAACATTATAGTTCTAGGTTAAAGCAAAGGGGAATTGGGCAGAAGGGGTAGGAAATGCTTTAAGAGACCTGCATAAGCTTTCCTTTCTCTGAAACCTCACGGCCCTGCTGAAGTACAAGTCCTGAAAGCTAATCTGATAAACCATAACTTATCCCACTATTAGTGCAAATATAGCTGCAGTAGCAAGAGTTTTATTTTGGAAACATTTCAGCAAGAACATCTCTCAGGAGTCAGAACAGTATCACAAAGCAATAGACAGCCATTGGTGGCACAGCTTCAATATGAAATGCATCCATAAAAATTTCCAAAGGGACTGTAACCTGTGCTTTAAAGTCTGAGAAAGCCGACTTACTGTTGCTTATAAAAAGGAAGTCCTGACATACTCTTGGGGGTTTCCCTGTGGTGCCTGCAAAGTATCACCATATTCATATTGCAGGATCAGGGCCACAGCTGGAAATTATAAGTGTAAGAGTAAGGGCTGTGATGATGCTCAAGACTGACATGGCACATCTCTGGAAAGGTGCTCTAAAGAGACAAATCTTAAGGAGAGTCTGGAGAACAGGAGAGGCACACGCAAACGCTGATGAAAACTAGCCATTTGTCACAACAAAATAAAATATATAGAGATACGGAGAGCTGCACAGATACGTAACTCCTGGTAACTTGTGATGTAAAAGTTTCTTAAAATTATACAAAATCAGCAGTACTACAGCAGATAAGATAGTTTATACTTATGATGTAGAAAGAACACTAAATACTGTATTTGCATGCTGACTGACAGGGGGAAGGGGGGGGGAAGACAGAACTGCCAACTATTCAGTCCAGACAGTTCATTGAGCAGACAAGCTGTGCATTTTGCCAGGGCAACAAAATCAGAAAGGCAGTATTTCTAAAGTTATTACTTCAATTACATTGATGCAAGTCATTGATGCAATTCATACAAGAATTTTAAGACATGCTAGACAATGTAACTTTCTAATGAACACAGGAGAAGGATGTTGACCAAGTGTGGTACTACTCCCCAAGGTGATCTTCTGTTTAGTTAATACAGTAAAGAGATAAAGAAAACTCCTCCAGAAAATCAAAGAGAATTTTGAAATGTAACACTGATGTTTTTTGGGGGAAAAAAAAAAAAAAACCACAACAAACCATAGGTCATGAACCAAGCCATCTCTGTTTTCTAGGATTGTTGAAGGGGTTTGTTTTCTTTTATTGTATCATCATAGATTGCTTTTGGCAAAGATTAACCAGTCTACAGATAAACCCTCGGTTTTGAGTTGCTTTACTGATTCGCATTAAAATGTCAAGAAAGCATTTCCCTTTGTGATGTTCCCACTGTCTTTTATCAGAAGCCATTCCTTCTGAAGAAAGAAATTATTTTGCCTATTCTTGGTTTTTAGATGTTGAACACTATCAGACTCCTTCAGCTGATGACTCAAGCCAATTTGACTATCCTCTGCAGGGTTCACAGCAGGTTCAAGTACTTTTCGTAACACACTCCTTTTTCATCTATTTCCTTGTCTGTATGCATAACTGCAGCACAGCTAAAGTATCAACCACATGACGCAGTATCTCTTGGCTCTATCCTGATTTTCACAGACCACATACAAAGCAAGCAGCATATTCAAACATTCTTCCTCAAAACCCAGGCTGAACATTCACCTACACACATGGCAGTGCAAAAAACACCATGGCATTGTTAGCAGAGTTTCACTCAAAGTTGACACTGCACATGTGGTCCAATCCAGTGTGTACTAAACTGAATGGAAAACTACTGATTTCAGTGGATCACACCTCAGACTATTCCTTGAAATCTTTATTCACTATTCCCTTTTCAAGGGGAGTATTACAATTAACTGAATAGAGTTGGCAGCATGAAAAGTGTAAACACAGGCTACTTGATTCAACATGAAAATATTGAGAATGTGGGTAAATACATGTAATAATGACAAAATTTTGATGTAATTAAACACCAAATTAATTAGCTGACTACTTTAAAACTTCTGTATCATGCAGGTGACAGAAAGGGGGTGAGGTAAGAGGAGGGGAAAAAAAAAAAAAAAGTGTGTTTACTATCCATGCTTGAAAGAGGCATAACATATCCTTCTGGTCATGATCCCAGACCAGGAATACTAAGCATTAACAAGTCAGTGCTCTCCAGCGCTTTTCAGCTTTGTGGTGCTGACTGTTATCTGAATGTACAGACATGCTCTATCTCAAGTGAAGGTCAGCAGC